TTGGGCTCAAGAGATCCTCCTGCCTCAGCCTCCCCAGTAGCTGGGACAACAGGCGCGAGCCATCACCACCCGGCCAATTTTTTCTATTTTTAGTAGAGATGGGGTTCTTGCTCTTGCTCAGGCTGGTCTCGAACCCCTAAGCTCAAGGGATGCTCCTGCCTCAGCCTCCCAAGAGTGCTAGGATTACAGGCAAGAGCCATCAAGCCCAGCCTTTTTTTTTTTTTTAAAGAGACAGGTCTGGCTATGTTGCCCAGACTGGAGTGTAATGGCTATTCACAGGCCGGATCATAGCTCCAAAATCTCACTCCAAGACACCGTCCTAGCTTTTCTCTCCTGCCATTCTGCGTCTCTCACCCCTACCTCGCTACAGCTACAGGTCCCGCAGCTTTTCATGCAGTCGAGCCCCTTCCTTTCCTAGAATGTGCTCCTCAGAAGCATCTCCAGACCCTTCCTAAGCAGCCCCAAGGAGTTTTCAGTTTCTCCCAAGCTCCATTATAATGGTAAGATAACTTCCTCCATCCAAGGCTTGTTTGCCTCCGAAGGTCGCGGGCATGAAGGAATGAACAAAATGAACTGTTAGAGGCCACAGACGTCAGAAATCAGATGACCAGACCCGGAAAGCGCAGAGCTCTGCTAGGCCGTCTACGTGACTTCCGGAAGGCCCTCCCTGCCGGTCCGATCACCGAGAGAAAGGGGAGGATGAGAGCGAGGTCAGGAATCACGATGGCGCCCTGGGCTTGCTCTCCGCACCTGTGGCCTCTAGCTGAAGAGCCACGCCCCTTCCGTTACACCCCGTCGGTTCTCCCAATTACCGAGAGCAAGGGCAACTCGAGGATGACGCCAAGAATCAAGATGGTTCTCTGGACGCGCTCTGTAGTTAATTAGGCCTCTACTCACGCCCCAGTAGACCGTCCAGTCACCAAGAAGGAGGGCGAGGCGTGGTCCGCACCTATGGCGAATGTGGAGGCCGGGAGGCACTGCGCCCGCGATGTCTGGGAAGCCGTACCCCCTCAACCCCGGAAACCGCGCCCTTCTCTTGCTTGTGGCAAAGGGTGGGTGTGAGTGGCAGGGCGGGCGCCGAGCTTCGGGTTCCTGCGGTGGGGCGTGGAGCAGAGGCCTAGCACTGGCCCTGGGGCCCGGATGGGAGACACGAGGAAGAGTGGCAGCACGCCGCCCGCTTCCCCGCCGCGTCCTGGAGTCTCCGTGGGTGTCGACGAGCCCGGGACTGTCTACCTGGAACCAGATCCACTCCAGTATTTCTGTCAGCCTGAGCTGACAGAATGTGTCTTGTTTTTTTCCTCAGTCACTGGAGATGGAGGCTTCGGTTTAGCAGACAAAATATTCAAAGAGAAAGTAATCAGCCTGCTCAAGAAGTGAACCAAAAAAAAAAAGTGAACCGAAAGCCACCCACAACCCTGACTTACGTTCTTGATCCTGTAACGTTCCTGAAATGTGAACCAACCCTAGTTATGACCAAATTGTCATGGTAGCCATGTACATTATTACCTGGCAGAGTGAACAGATTCATGTATATTTAGGAGTGAAAAAAATATGTGTTATATCTGTTTTCAAAATTTGCGATCTTAGGAACCCTGAAGCTGCACAAGACAGTGTCCACACTAGGTTGCCTAAGACCACCAGGAACAAACCTGTAGTTAACAAAATCAGGTCTCTTGATCTATTGCAGTCAGGGAGATTGTACACCAGAAACACTATGGGACATTTAGCCAAAGAAAGAAAAAGATACATTTACAGGATTTTTAAGAAGTGTGAAGTTTAGATGGAATTTAAATGAAATAGTTTTGATAGTCTCAAAAGAAATCAAGACTGTAAAAACAGGTCAACATCAGGCCTAGACTGCAAAGTGGACCCATGTTCCTATTTCTTTGAAAATGTCCAGAAACCCCTTTTCTGAAACTTTGCAGCTGGTTTGTAAATTGAAGCTGCTTCTCTATGTTAAAGTGGCTTAGATCCTCCAAACAGAAGTAAGATGTTTTTATTCTTGCTGACAAAATGTCAAACAGCAAGGTTCTCAAGGTCTTTGATTTTAGAGAACAAAGTTCCTCAGTGAGTAAGAAAGCAGTAGTCACTCAAAGAGAGTTATTATGATACTTTATAGATGTAGCACGTCCCTGGCAGAAATATTTTTCTTTAGTTTGTGCAGGTGTCTTTATTTGTATTTGTTTATCCTGCCTAATGAATAACCATGTAGATTTTT